CGTAACAGGCTTCGCGATATCTCACGAAACACTGTTACGCTGCGACGCGTCTGGAATACATCTACCTTGGCCTGCGGCGCTGAGACCCGAGTCGGTTAGTGGCAATATGTACACAAAAATACGGGCCTACGGCCCATCACTTCAACTAAGCATGCAGGGTTGTACATTTTATCGTTTTTTCGTCAAAAGTACCCTCCAGCGCTTCAGCGGCTTGACTCAATTATTTATTTCCATCGACTTCCTTGTGGTTGTGGGCGCCGCCACACGCAGGTCATACTGTACGTCGAGTCTATTTCTGTGTTTGATATGTCAAGTCAGAAAATGTCACTTCTGCCAAGCCGCGACCCCATGCGACCCCAGGCACCTCGCCGCGACCCCACAAAAAAATTTCGCGACCCCATTTGGGGTCGCGACCCCAAGGTTGAGAACCGCTTGGCTTGAGCTAGAGCAAAACAGACAACATTTTCGCCCACAGAGCTCTACCCGATTTTTAGTTTTCAGTAAATTGCCCATAAGAAAGTAATGTTAAATTTTGACCTTGATTCGGCAGGGTCAAATTATGTTCCATTTTCATACAAAAAAATATGGTGTATCTATACATCAAACTGCACACTCTGGCCAACATGCCCACAAAAAAATCAAAAAACAGTTTTTTGGGGGGGGCAACCCTAACCTTCTGATGGGAGACTTCCTCGAAATCTGAGTTGTCGTCAAACCAGGGGAGTTCCTCAAAGTTTTCCCTTTTCCCTCAGAAAATGAGACATTGTTTTTACCGTGCTAGGTTGGTGTGGAGAGTGAATAAATCTCTCTGGACATGCACCCGAGTCACATTTGTGGAATCACCCAGCTACATTTGTGGCAAAGCGATACTATGCCACATGGTTCGCAATAATGAAGAATTTGGAAATTACGTCTGGATTTTATAAAGTAATGATTGAGCTATAGCTCAAACCTTCCGGTTCAACACCTTCAAGTACTCGTAATTATTGTTATTGACTCCGCAGCGAGTATTCGAGAAGGAGTTTTACAATTCCTTTAGGACAATATTGTCTCATTAAGAGATGTCAATTTTTGCCATTTCCAGCCTTGTAAATACTAGGTTGCGTAACATTTCTTGATACTACACCTCAAAATCGTTTAAATCAAAAATTCCCAAAAATTCGAAACTTTCCTTTTTTTTTTGCTCTTTGCTTTTTACTATTTTGGAAACTACTCGCATTCGCAAATTTGAAAATTCCCGAAAAATTTCTAATTGTAATGTTCTGTGAGAAGTAAGAAACCAACAGTTGTTTTTTTAGTGCATGGGGCTTGGTTTATATCTTTTGAGATCAGTATCATGAAATACGATCCCTGATGTTTTTTTCAGACCGCTTGTTTTGGAGTTCAAACAATGAAACTTGCGGGGACTGTGGAAGAGCTCAGCCAATTATTCTTTAGTGGTGTCCCGGCCAGCATGCAATGCATTCAATGCCTGTCCTTGACTATTGTGCTGTATGTAGTTGAAAGTTACTTTTTGGTAGGGAGAAACGAATAACATGTGTCAGTAAGGGTAAGTGGGGTACATTGGGATGGATGTTTTTTTTTTTCCTTGTGCTAGGTCGGAGACCTTGCATGTTAAAATGACCGGTACTGGCTACAATTACACATTTATATGTGGCCCATCACATCTCATAGCGTCCAGATCTGTTTACTCGTTCTTTACCATCCCACTTCACCTTCGTGGTGGTAGGAAGAACGAGTATTGTCCTCAGTGCGGTGTCACGCTTTTCCTGTTCCTGCTTTCATTTCAGAACACACAAAGGCATGACAGTAGTACCACTGTTCAGCGGGGACGTTGGTCTCAATTAAAGCAATGGACCTTTTTTTGAGGTTTAATAGCATAGTTTTGAGCACTCTGAACAAATTTTGCGTGTTTTTATTCTAAGTCCCTGACCCGCAGAGCTTATTTTATTTGAGCAAGTTGAAAAACGTTGTGTTATAAGCAACGAAATTGGATCATGCATGCATATTTGAACTTTGGAGGAGTTAATGAAACTATTTTATTGATGTTCTAAGTCACTACCGAACCGAATCATTTAAAAGAGTTAACTTAATGGATCCTCCTAATCAAATTGCAAGCCCCGTGACGGTGTAGGAGTACGTGAGGTTATGGCGGTGCCGTCCGTGCTGCCAATGCAGTCATAGCCTGTAGACGGACAAAGTAACTACTTCACAGTAAGCGCGCGGCGGGCGTTTTAATTGTACCTTTTATCACCACGGAACGCATCATCACCCTTAACACACACTTCTCCATTATTCTGAGATGAAAGTACGAACTGATTTTAAAGAACTACCGTGGTTTGGTTAAGAACGAGTTTCCTACATAGCCCAAAATTCATTTTGTGTTCATAATTTAAATTGTTTTCTCATAGTCCTAGGCTAAAGAGAGATTTTCCCAAAATGTGTCAGCTGTCCCAATGTGCCCGAGTACGGGACACATATGGACAGCATAAGAATACATAGAATGGGGCACATTGGGACAGTTGACGCGCTTCCCTCTGAAGTATATGACAAAAATACCGCCAAAACCACGGTTAGAACACTAACATTGTTATTAAATTTTATAACAAAAATATTATGAAGAGTTATGTATGTTATAATAAAATTCATAACATATGTTTTGAAAAGTTACAACATAAGATTGTGAAAGTTTCGAATCGTTCAATCATGTTCCGGGGATTTTACTTCATATGTATCACCTGTCATCTGACAGAGGTGCGTATGTCAATGATTTTTCAAAAATCACTTTTTTACACTAAACTGTACTTACACAGGTCCTGCATCACATGCCGAAGAGAAAAATTGAAAAATCATAATAGAATAGGCTGGGATGCAATGGTAAAATATGCGTATGTCACAAGTCATCTGACGAAATATACGTATGTCAGTGACATACGCACATTTGACTAGATTTTTGCTGACATGCGCACATTTTGTCAGATGACAGTGACATACGCTCATTTGTCAGATGGAATTTTTGTCGACATACGCTTGTTGGTCAGATGACACTGACATGCGCACAATTTAAATGACTTTCATTGAATAACTTTGTAGAATTAAGTTTGCATGTGTCATCAAAGATTCCTTTCCACTACCATTTTACAAAGAGCACGAAACGAAACGAGGTTGTGTTGTTGGTTGTGAGTTCCCTACCTGCTGTGATGAGGCAGGAAGCCATCCTGGTTGTTGGTTATGTCACTCCACTGTTAAAGGTGACATGTTCAGTAAACACAACAACATCAAAACGGGGCGGGACCGACACGTCCACAGTAAATCCGTCCACAGAATGTGCGCGAAGTGAAAACACGTCCACAGGTTTACATCCAATGATTTGGACGTAAATTAACAGATGCGTTTGTTACGTCCACAGTGTGGATGTACTTACGAGCCGTGTGGGGCTGGTGAAAATAGCTCCACAAAATCTGTTGTCATTTGTCTTTTCTCATTTACATCCACACGGATGACGATCTGCTCGAGAGTGATCACTCTGAAAATCGAACAGTACGACAGTTGCAACAGTGGGGCAAAAGTCCTACACATCCGAGAGTAGATCAAGCTGGTCCTACTAAGAAACTCTAGGACTACGCTCTAAGCGTAGGACATTCCCACTCTTGATAAAGTCATAAGATTTTCATAAAGTTACCGTGGGGTACATTCCCGGTTTTGGGCTCAGTGCATATTGCCGCTCATGTCGCGCGCTACACTTGCTAGAGCAGAACAACTCTGTTGCACACTTCAAAAGTGTTGAATAGTTGATAGCTTAGTTTATCAATGCAGAGGAGAAACAGATATACAGGCATGCGTTTACTCTTTGGTTCCTTTTGTCATTCCTGAGGATGTGTAAATCACAGAGGCGACAATGAGCGCCAGATTTTGTGGAGTTATTTTTGCCAGCCTTACACGGATCGTAAGTACATTTGTGCAAGCAGGCGTTAATTTACGTCCAAATCATTGGACATATTTTTGCAAAGCGCTTCATTTACGTCCAAACTGTTGTGGACGTATTTACCGTGGACATGTCGGGTTGCCCCCATCAAAACAACACTTTTATTGTGATTAGTGACGAATCATTGTGACTTCCAAAGTGTG